AAGAGGTGGCAAGGGTTTAGCTTTGGGTTTGTGATTCTAGCAGGGGCTGTAACTGTTCTGCAGACTGTTGATGAGCACCTGCTTCATAGCATTTGCCTAGAGATTGATCATACAATTTCTTTACATAATTCTTTTGAAAACTGGGCTCTAATAATGATAGGTGAAACCTTGAATAGTGTCTAAAGCAAGACTTCTCCTTATTTATAGAAACTATAGTCTTGTATAGTAAGTTATTTTTATTCAGACAAACAGCATACCTGCGTATTTACTTGAATGCCTGGATAAATCTTTCAGTTAGTATTTTATCATATGGATTGTAGGGAGCTATTGAGAGGTGTTGAGTATCTGAAAGTCTGAATGTGAGCTGAATTCCACTGTCAAATACAGTCTGTTCAAGAACTTCTAAGTAGGCAGTCTTGAACCTGTCACATCTGCACTCACCTATTTGAATTTATTTAAAATACTTAAGTAAGACTACTCTGGAAGGAACATTGACACTATTATTAAAACAAATTCCATAGATTCACTACCATGGGCTATTTGACTGCTTCCCCCAGGTGTAGAGGGAACATTTTTATGCATGTGCTGACAACCTTAACCTTGTTTTGCCAGTTTCACATTTTCTGCATCCATCCTTGGCTACTACTGTACACAGCTGCTTGCAACATTTTTTTTGAATTATTTTCACATGAAGGTTCTGTAGGAATTCTTTGAGAATGACTGAGATAATTTGCATAGAGCAGTAGCTTGTGGTAGATGTTACCCTGATCTGAGCTTTAGTATGGAAGCATCTCAATTCTGGTGATGAAACCAAATTCTAGGTTGATAAAAACAGGGATTCTCAGATGAATGGCATTAAGTGCAGATTTAGCAACCTTAGAAGTGTGCTTAACTCTTTCCAGCTTCATGAAAAAATGGGTGTTTGGCTGCAAATCACTCATTAGTGCTTCATTTAGTATTGTATCACTTTTAGTGCTAAAACTTTGATTTTTGCCATATAGGAACATACATGTCCAATTGCACTTCAATGGATTTGTTACCAATAACTTCCAAAATGTGCGACAGATGTCTCATGTATAACTAGACTATTATCAGAGGGAGGTAAAATGTGGTGCTATTCTGGAGTGCTAACAGAAAAATGAGTTTTTAATTTATCTGTCTTATAGTTTGTTAAAATAGGGGCATGCTGGGAATAAAACTAGGACCAATTCAGGGTTTTTGCAGAACATATTAATGTTTTTATTCTGCTGAAGAGGTGAAAATTGGGAGGGCTTGTTAAAACCAGTATTTGAGATTTGCACCCTACCCCTTTTGATTTCCAGGCACCGTATTATGGTGGTGGAGGTGGTGTTGGTCCTTTTCCTGTGTCTTCCAGAGGACAATATGAACACTATCATGCTATTTTTGACCAGATGCAACAGCAAAAGGAAAACACTAGAATAGCTGAAGAGAGGGAAGCCAAATTGAGGGTGAAAATACAAGGCCAAGAAGCTGTTGAAAGGTATGGCTACCTTCCTTTAGAAGTTGCATGCAGTCTGCTTTAGATTAATGTAATGAAAGTTACTGTACATATTTATCTACAGAGGAATTCCACCTGGAATACGTCCAGGAGTTCCTAAGGGGCCTGCAGGTCATCACCCTTTACCTGATGCTGGTGCAGTTAGGAAAAAAATGAAAAGATTGAAGGATGTGTCTAAACAAGCCAATGCAAACAGGTTGGACTATGATAATCCATAAATCTGTCCCTACGTGTTAGATTCTTGTTCTGTGTCATGTTTCATTTAGTAGCTGGACATGTCTCAAAACCACTTTTATCCTTTGGTACTGTGCCATCTGTTTGTGTGTTAGTCCCTCGCAGACCACAATTCTTTTAGAACCAATGGAAAATTTGCCTTCCCCAGTAGTGGAAAAAAATTATTACTAACAACTGTAACTAAACTAGATTTCAACGAAAATTCTTGGCAGTTGCAGGTAACATTATAAGCCTCTTCCTTTGTTTTTTTCATAGTTCCACTTTTTGTGTTTTCTGCCAGGATGCATCCTTCTCCTGTTAGCCTAGCATTAGAAGAGTGTCTAGAATGCTCCCAGTATTGTTAGTTCCTGTTTATTCATCAGTGGGAAATTTCTAGGAGCTTTCTTAGTCGAGATGCCAATGCCAGGTGTTATAATGGTGTGCAACTTCTAATTCGGTGATACTCTTTGCAGTTACTATAAACTGAGTATTTTCAATAGAAAAAGATTGTAAACAAGTAAAATTATTTCTCTCTTTCAAGTAGCTTCTTCAAAACTTCTTTGCTTTCCTTCACATCTGTTAATATTGCCCAAAGAACTGTGTCCACTCTTGTAAGCAGTAAATGGGAAAATATCTCTTTTTCTAGAAGTTTAGTATGTGAGTGTTACTAACTTTCCTAGATGGACAAATTTTCTCGTACGTTATTTAAACTTCTGCAGATCCAATGATGTATCCCATGGAGGAAGAAATAAATGGAGTTAATGTAAGGAAAAGGAAGTAGCCAAAGAAAAATTTTTCTTCTTCTAAACTAATTTTATTGTTTTATGTTTTACTAGAATATATTTTGCCTTCATAAATTTTTTTTCTACTTTAAAATTTGCAGCAATAACATAACGTGTTTATCACTTATGTTAGTTTTGCAAACTACAAGGTATATTTAATTTTCTTTATACTAATTTAGGCTGTTGTGAGCTAATTAGGATTCTTCCTGGTACAAGCCAGTACTGGAGGATGTGTTTTTCCAGCTCTTGTAGATGCATATTTCCATCCTCCTCTATTTATTCTCAGTGTTTTGCACAAAGTGCCACAATCCCCAAATCTTGTCTAGATTAGGAAACAGTTTGCCTTGCACATTTGACAATATTAAATGGTACTTGGCTACACATGGGTAAACTGTTTTAAATATGTTAAAATTGAGAGGAACTATAGTAGAGGGCTGCAGATTATGAATAACATGGAGATCATGAAGAAAAACTGATTCAGTATTTCTCAAATACATGAACTTGGAAGCACTCAATGAAAATACTGTGCAGAAGTTTTAGAACAGGTAGAGATTTTTTTTTTCCATTTATAAACTGGATTACCTTTGGCCTTAAATTGAGGTGCTTTTTCTTAGCATTTAAAATGTGGTAAGTATTTTTACTGTATTATCTAGATGCAATTTTATTATCATAGTTAGCCTAGCAGTATTTTTCTCCTGAAGTTTATTCTTTCATCTGGCAGTGAAATATAAAGATAAGTGTTCAGGATGTTTAGCTCAAACAAAGAATTTAAATAATTGCAACTTAAAGATGGGTAATTTACAGTGTATATTAAAGAAGTTGAGAAATCTTCAAGTTGCAATCTTTCTGATTACAACTAATGTAAAGCTAAGTATATTCAACATCAGCATTTTTTTAAAATTGTCTCTTGGACAGAAATGCATCCCAGAAGAAATCTAGTTGAAATGTTTTAGCAAAATGAGTCACTTGGCTTTAGCCTAGGGAAAACCATTTCCATAAAATTTAGCTGAAATAAGTTTTTTGTGTGAATTTGGTTTGAGACAAATAGGTGGTGTTTTGTGGTTTTGGTTGTTTTGTTTTGTTTTTTATCTTCCATTGGGAAACACCTCCTCTCCAACACTCTAAGCTAAATTTCAGCTATATGAGACAGGTTTGGACAGATTTCGCTATCCATAGATTGAGTTAGTATGTAATGAACAGTTACAGTAAAAATCTTGTAGTGAGCCAAATATGCGTATACAAAGACTATCAAGTTTTTGTTTCTTTACCAGTAACACCTGCACATGTCTTGCCTTTTCAGAGAAGCTACAGCATTTTTTTTTATTGTATCAAAGTAGTTTTATCTCAGTCTTCCTCTTAATGAATTGGGGTGGTGAGGAGAGAGAAAAAACAAGATGTGAGGGTGTTTAATCAGTGTGCTATTTATGAATTACTAGCAATAGCTCCTGTATTGCAAAATGATTCTTAATCCTTAACTGTCTCAGCCTGATGGATTATTGTTATCAGCTTATTCCAATTTCTTCCTCTCTTGCTGGACCCCCAATATTCCTCAGTCAAATGAGGCTAGGGGAATCTTGGAAAGGGGATTGCCTCATCATTCTACCATTTGTTAGAATATCTTACAGCATTTCTCAGTGGGTTTTTTTAATGGAAAGCTTCCTCTGAGTCCACTTCCAACCAATTTGTCAGAAACTGGTTCATCTACAAAACAATCAAATGTATGTACTAGGAGATTTGCCAGATGCTCAGTTATGGTAACTTGAACATAGCCTTCTTGTCTACCCAAGCAGGTCCCTGACCTGGGGTGGAATGTGAAAAAAAAAAAATTCTTGTTCTGGCTAATTTCAAGGTAGGAAAATTCCTTTACATTCCCTTTAAAAACAAACAAAAAGATCCCCGCAAGATCCCTGAAAAGGAGTTGCCAGAACACTCTAAGAATACTAGCACCGTACTAATTATCTAAGTGGTAGAAGCTTTTACTCCAAACATAGGTCAGTCTTGAAAGACTGTTGCAGTACTGATCTTAATGACTGGTTCATGGGATGAGTTCTTGCTCATTTCAGAAGGGAAACCTTGAAGCAGTTGTCTTTTTTACAAATGACAACAATAATGAAACAAGCAGAGACATTTTCAGAAACTGGTGCACTAAGATTGTGTTTTGACATTAATTTTTTGTTTTGATGACCAGGATCTGGAAGGACAACATGGTGTTTTGTTGGGGTTTTGGTGTTGTTTTGTTTTTTTAAATATTCTTTTAACTTAGTTGAGCCTTTTTTCCTCCTTTTTGTGGAAGTCTGACTTGTATTGTGGCTGATGAAAGGCATTTTTTGAAGATGCCTTACTCATAGAAAGTTACTTTTTTTGAGTGTGTCCTAGGTAGTATGAATGCGGGGGTGTCTTTTGAGTGTCATATTTCAGAGCCTTTCATCTTGCTATGTGTTGCAATTATTCAGGCAAAAAGGATGGATAGCTGCAGATAGAGCAAAGCAAGTAGAAGAATTTTGGCAACGAAAGAGAGAAGCCATGGAAAACAAAGCTCGAGCTGAGGGACACATGGTATGGAATCTGGTCTTCCTATGTATATTACTGTTTCAGCATGCTTTATGAATCTTTGAAGTAGACAGCATCATTGAAATGCTGGCTAAGTATTTTCCTTAAGTATTAAAAAAAAAAAAAAAACAGGAGGTAGGTTTTTGCATTTTGTTATTGATTTTATTAAAATATAACAGAATTGTGCAATACATCTCTCATGACTGTAAATTTATTAACAAAGGAAAATACCTTTTTCGCGTGTGTCTAACTTGATATTGTGAATTTTAGAACATTTATTTATCTTTTTTTGTGTTCATAGCTTTAAAGTTTTGGTTATAATTAAACTTTTTGTATTATTCAGTAGCTTGAACCTAAAATGAAGTTTGATTAAACTGATACAGCTAATTATCAGGTACAGTAGTGTGTTTTATGAAAACACATTCTGCTTATTGAGAAGGTATTATACAGACATTCATCTTTGTCAAGGTTGATGTGTCTAAAACCTTTACCCTTTCGAGATTAACTAGTGGACAATGTCACAAAAGGTTCTTTGTTCTTTATGCTTGCAGTTCTAAATTCAGTATTCTTTTAGGAAGTTGGTTTTGCATTAAAAATGTCTTGGAAATGACTCATTTGTACTAGGACTTTGTGTGGTTGAACTATGCGTCTTCATAATGTGGAGAGTTTTGCTTTTTGAGTCCTCCGCACTGTTCATATACAGCCACGTCACAATATCACTGTCAGCTGCTGAAATTAAACTGACTGTGCTGGCATTGCAGTGAGATGAGCCCAACTGCACCTTTATAGAAGCATCTCCTGAGTTATATCTGAATATCAGATCATGATTTATAGCCACGTCTTTGTCTCAGGGATCATTTAACTTACAATAAGCAATTCTTAGATACTTTGATTCACTGCTTTGGTGGTGAAGTATCCTTAGATTAGTATATATGTCTTAAAGCATGAGTCTTCCACTTTAAAACTATCATTATAGTTTTTAAAACCTCCAAGACCAGTAAATAATTTTGAAAAAATGAACAATTCTTAAGACTGCTGCTTCTTAGACAAATTCTTAGTAGTACCTGCTTCCATTTTGATCTTGACTTTGTTGACATTAATAGAAGTGTATGAGCTCAATTAATGCAAGATACCCAGGTGTTCAGGTTAATGCTTCTCAGGTTTATCTAATGTATTCAACTGAGCCCAGATGTTTTATTCTTAACAGGCAGCCATAGTAAAACAGTGAGGTTACTGAACAGTTGTAAAAGTAACTTCTAACTCAAAGCTGGGGTTCTAAATTCATGTACTATCATTTGCCATTGATAGAAGTTCTCAGCAGCTTCCTTCTATTTGTGCAGGAAAATAATTTGATTAGCTGGCAGTAATTCTCATATAGGGATGGGACTATTGTTCAGATCATGATGATCTGAGAGAAGAAGTCAGTAGGAATGATCAACTAATATTCAGTGTTCTGTTGTATAAAGATTTGTAAGTCAAATGACTCGCACTGATTTACCCAGCTTCTGTTAAATATAGTTGCTATCAATTTTAATTTTGAACTGTCAGTCCAAAGTTCGACTCGGTAGTTGATTTGATGATACTATCAGTCATCTCTTCTTTAAGACAGCTGCTGGCCTAATTTGCGGCTTCACTGTAGCTGTGTGGCACTGCAAAATGTTGAGTCCTGGTCTTTGAAAATTTTAATGCAGGCAGGTGAATAAAAGTTAACAATCTACAGAAGGAAAATCAGTTCTCAAAAATCCTGTTTCCAGTTTCTTTCTTGTTTAAGAGCAGTCATATAAATCTCCATCATCTAAATCTCCTTATCAATAACTTAACTGGAATATTTGCTTACTGATGGTTCTCCATGCTCAAGCCTGAGAAAGCTAAAGCCCTGGTATTGTATAAGGCAGAGCATCCATGCAACTATCACATGTATGCTTACTGTCTTTATTGTATGATGAGTTAACTAATTAAGATATTTTTAACCCATTCAGCAGAGGGTTATGGTATATCATGAACAAAATTATATAAATATTTTGGATTTTAATCCAAGGAAGTAACCTGGAGTTAAATGATTCTTTTACTGTTTCGTATTGGACTTCCTTAAAGGTTGAAATCCTTTTGATGACAGTTAGGACACTAACCAAGACTATACACTGTGAATGCATATGTATTAGGCATTGAACACAGCTTGTTAGATGTAATGTTTATATTTAAGTATTTTATTAGGTTTTGGGGTTCGCTACTTGTGTTTTTAAAAATGTCATCATTGTGGAAAGAGCTTAATCTAAGAACATATAAAGATTCCACTTGCATTTTAGACTTGGCTCAACAATGGCAGAAATGCCAACTCTGTGCCACAATTTTTATATTATCTAGATGTAGAAAAACTCATGTCCGGCAGAATTTAGACTTTCTAACATAACAGGAGAAGATCAGAATTGCAGGGAGAAGGCAACTGTATTCTTAAAGCTCTAGTCTCTCTCTTTGGCTACTCAAGATTTTTAGTTAATACTTTCATACGTTTTGTATAAGTGAAAAGGAGTTATCTGTTAACTTCAGAACAACTGCAGATCATTGATGGATTTGGTTTCTTATAAGTGAACAGTTATTGGATAAAGCAGATAATTTTACTGCCCCAGCCACCTTAAATTTGATACCATTAAATGGCAAACAGGGTACTCTGCAAAACATGGCAGATATCTATGGAGGCAGGTCCATTTCTGCAAGAGGAAGGAAATCCAGAAACAAGGAGGAAGAGGTATGATTGCCGCATGTTTGCCACTTTACTCATCACACAAATAGCACTATTTTGACCTTGACTGTGCCTTGTGTCCCTGCATGGTTCATCTCTGTAACAAAAGCAAAGGACTTTATAAATTCCTAGGAAATAATTTACTTTATAAAGTTCTAGAGTTCGTTCATGTGTCTTTGGTTTTTCCTTTAAATAATTAAAATAATAGTTGTCTATATCAGTCTTGTCTCAGAGAGGTTCTTGAATGTGTATATATATATATAGCTATGACTCTGTATTCTGTTGTGATAAATATAACCATTGTTAGCATTCAGTGATATAAAATGTAATGATAGCTTAATATTGTGAAATATATGTTCCAATTTTCTTTATTTTCATTAGATGAGAGTTTTTCTGGAGATTAGTAAATGCCAATATGGTGATAGTAATAGCATGGGATTTTTTTTTTTCACCCATCTTATTTTTTTTTTTTTGTGGAATCTTATTGTATTTTAAGTTAAACATACTGGAGGGCAGTTTCAGTATAACTGAAACTTATTTCCTTTCTTTGCCTTAGGAATATTTGGCAAGATTAAGACAGATCCGGCTACAAAACTTTAATGAACGTCAACAGATTAGAGCAAAACTTCGTGGAGAGAAGGTTGGTTTGAAAAATAATTTAAATACTTACGGAAGTTGGCTGTGGGATGTATTCTTTTATCCCTGCAGGAAGACTTTTCTCATAGGCAGTTTTATATATAGACATGTATTTTCGACATATAATTCTGTTCCACAGGTAGTGTACTTCCATCTCTTCTTCCAGAATATGCAAAATCTATTTGCTATTTCAGTGCTGGGGGTGCAGCTTCAGTGCCTTGTAAACTAACAGTGTTTTGAAAACAAGACAACATAAGGTTACATCTGAATTCCGCACATAAATTTCTCATCAAGCACTAGCACATTTGTATTTATTTGCTTTTAGTTACAGGAACTTCTTCAGAATTCACTTTTTGATAATACTCTAACAGAATGAATATGAAGCGATTCTTCTAATACATTCTGTAGGTGTGTATTAAAGTTGGAAATTCCTAGCATGAGCTCAAATTAATACTTTTTTCAAACATTGCTTTTCCAAAATATGTTCATAATACAACAAACACAAAATATGATGTTCGTAAAGTAGGTTCAGAGTGAACACTTCTTAAGGTGTCAAATGAATAATCTGAGGCACCCCTGAAAGCAATCCATTTACTTGTTTAAACAAATGTTTAATTTGAGAGGCAATCTATGTAGTAAATATGGTCTAGAGTTTGTGCCCATCTTTTCATTAACCCACTGTACTCCTGTCTGTTCTTCCCCTTCCTGTCCATTGTCTTAATAGAGTGTTTGGGTCTTCTCAAGTGGTTACCTGCTTATTTATTCACACTGTACTTTGTGATTTAAAACAAGAGATATATTCACCCCTCCTGCTTTAAGCACCCATATTAAGTGCTTTCATGCATCTTACTTATAGTGAGTGGGCATAGAAGGCAAGAGCATGCCCAACACCACTTAGTTTCTTTCGATCACCATCCCAGCTAAACAGAGTTCCACATTGCTGTAGGTTTGGTGGGGGGGTTAATTCTAAAGTATTCTATTTTTTCCCTCTATTAGTGACGACTTCTGAATTGTTTTCTTTATATTTTTTACCTTGACTGCATCTCACTGGTGAGATGCAGGAGAGCCAAATTCAATCCCTTGATTGAGTTACAAAACTTCTTCAGGACATTAAAGAGGAACACATGCCCTTTTAAATCTAGAATGAATGATCCAGAGCATGTTATGTATGTTTCTACCCGAGGAGACTATGCAGACTTTATAAGATGTGCTAGTGGCTGCTAAGTCTGGCATGGGACTTATATAGGCCGTTCTCCTAAGTTTGTCTTAAGGAGCAAGAGGGAAATCAAGGTCTTGTGAGTCTATGAAGTTACTGTAGAGGCTGGTCAGTGAAGTTTATCACTAGTGCTGGCTCACATAAAATGCAAAGCTGATGCACCATAAGCACATGCTGTCTTAATTGTATTTGGTGCTAGTTTCAGTCATAACTGCCGCCTCTGCTGTTTTGGACAAGCTTCAGAACTGCTGCAGTGGAACTAGTCACCTTCATACACAGTCCTATGAAATCTTACTGCGGCTCATGAGTACCCTTAGAATACTGACAGCAGTGCTAAAATGTTACCAGTATAGAGCTGTTGCTGTACTGAGCTGTTCCTTTTGGTTTTTTTCACTGAGTAGCTGCAACACTTTCGCTCGAAATTAGGAATGCTTGCACTCTCCTTGCAGTATGGTTAACTGCAGAAGTAAAGGTACTCTGCAGAAACCTTTTCTCTGCAGGCCAAGGCTGCTTGTGCTACTAAAGCCAAACAGAAGTACTGTCACTGTGACCATTACATTAATTCTCTTTTTGGGTTATTAGGTATATTGGGAACCTAACTTCCTTTCCCAGTGGCTGTACCTTACCTGGAGTAGTGTTCTATGGTATGCCAGCTACAAAGGAACAGAGAATATATTAATATCTTTCCCGGAAGTAGGCCTAAACTAATTTTCAGAATTCAGAGACCAAGTTTAAGAGGGCTTTTTTTCCTGATGACCTGCGGATGCAAACTTCAGCATGGAGTATCACTTCTAGAGGAACACCATCTCAGACCAAATCTTGTCATAGATATGTTTGTTCCCCTATTTTGATTAACAGTTTTATATCTGTCACTACTGCATAGTATCCTATTTTATATACAATAGATAAATATATTAATTTCTTTGCCTATGAAGAGTGCCAAATCATTTTTCTGAAGTTTTTCTATCTCCAGTGTTCTTTCCAGTCATCTTTTTTTCCTGTTAGCTGACTGAAGGCAAGGTGGCCATGGCCTTATTTTTTTTAATTTTCACTTAAAAATTTACCTAAATTCTTGCTTGTGTTTTGCCAAATTATTTCTCATAATACTCTTTTTCTTACACTGCAAGAAGCCTACTAAAGAGACCTTCTAAATAGTTTATTTTAAATAAAAGGTCTGCACAAGTTGGTCATGAATAATAAAAAGCTGCTGTCAGAACTTTTTTTTGCGTAACTCTGCCAGTCTGTTCTGTAAATAAGAATATGCAGAGGCTGTGGAAAGAAGAGAGATTGAAAACACAGATTTCAGAGGTAGACCTTATATATTCTTACTTGTTACCATTTTACCCCTCACCCACTCCATCTTCCTTGGAGCACATACAGTGGAAGAAACTGGAATTCCAGCACTTCAAACCTTTCTTGTATACCTCACCTGCAGAGCATGCAACAGTGATGAGGGGTGGCAGGTGAAAGCCCAGCATCATTAGGTCACTTCCCTTGTAACAGTAGGCACATTACTTTCTTTCTGGCTTGTAAAAGCTTTATATCTTTTAAAACCAAAAAACCCCCACAAAACTACACAAAACCCCCTACAAATCTCAAAGACTAAGTTCTGTCCAAGTAGACATTACATTTGAGTGAGGAGTTACCTAGTGAAATTATGACCCGTGATAGTCAATCTAAATGATCCAAGTAGTCACTTGCATCACTCAGCTTTTAAATACATGAATTAAGAGTCCTGAAAGAATTATTACTTTGCAGAATGAAGCTGCCAGTTCTGATGGACAAGAATCAAGTGAGGAAGCAGAACTGAAACGCAAAAAGATAGAAGCACAGAAGGTAACTGTGGGGAGGGAGGAGATGGACCTCACTGTTTTCAGATTTGTTTCATATGTCATGAAGTTTCTTACATTTCATTTTGGTATCAAAGTTCTGTTCATATATCCACTACAAGAGGTTTATATTTTAACTGCGTTGAGGTAATAACTCTGTTCAACTGTTGCATATCAGTAATTTCAAAATATGTTGTGACATAGCACAGCAAGTCAAGGATTTTTCACATCCTTGCCTTTGAGTTTATCTACATTAGCTTTAGTCCTAAAGGCAATTTGGTATAACTAAAATAGTGTTTTGGTACTGAAAGGGAAAGGAAGCTGTACCTTAAATAACAACAACTTTATTTTAGTTAATAAAGGAAGGCAAAACTGCTTACATGTGCTGACATGGGTTACATGTGGCTTGGAAGGCGAGCGAGTTACCCCTGTGATGATGTACATTTAAAGCAAATGTTTTTCACAGAAATCCAGTGTTTGATTGGAATTTTATTCTGTGTGGTGTTCTTTTATCAATAACTATCTCTACCGTAAAATACATAGCAAGTACCACTCTTATCTATTCCATGTTATTTTCTTCTACATAACTGAAATGTAAAGAGCAATGTAAAAACAAGCTAACCTTATGCCTAACCTTAAAACTAGAGGTGAAACAGTAACTGAAGCTTTTTATGTTTATGTTGAGTAAGTTTGTAGAAGTTTAAAATATTAAATACTTAATATTTTGTGATTAATGCATTTGGCTTCAAAACTAATTTTAAATAGAGATTCTAATTTTACATTACTCTGTTTAAGATTACTATGCACACTACAAATATAACAGTGCAAATTGAGAACTGTAATTCAATTTTGAGGAGTTGCCATTATTTTCAACATAGAAGTTCAGTTGTTATACTCGTGTGGTGATTTTGATTGTCAGTGGAGTCCTCCCTTCACAGTCTATACAGTAATAAGTCAGAGAAAAGGAAGGTGAAGTAATCCAAGAATGCTTCTTTTTAAAATGATGCATGGAATGGCGTACTAATGCTTTTTATGATTTTAAGTTGGTCTTTGTTTGTTTACTGTAGGCCCAAGCAAATGCTCGAGCTGCAGTTCTGAAAGAACAGCTAGAGCGAAAGAGAAAGGAAGCATATGAAAGAGAGAAAAGAGCCTGGGAAGAACATGTAAGAAACTGAATCTGTAACACACAGTTAAAGTATGTAGTGCCGTATCTTTGTATAATTAAAATCTTGTAATGTGATTTTTCAAGCTTATCTAAGTAGTTTGTCTTCTGAAACTGAGGAGAGCATCTGTCAGTCAGAATTCCCTCATTAGAAACCTAATCTTAGGTATACTTGAAGAGTTTGATTCAAGAATTTAAGAACATCAAACCGAAGAATCATTAGGATCACCCTAAGTATTTTATTAATGATCTGTAACTTACCAAAGTGTACTTGATCTTCTTTTGCTTCTATGTGCAGTGGAGTGACAAGTCCAACTAGTAATGTATCGCTACGAAAAATATGGTGTGAAGCTGATAAACTGGAAATAGTTCACATGTACAGTTGGCAGTTGTCTTTTGTATGAAAATGTGTGGCATTATTGTCCTTTTCTAAGGTTTACATGAGCCTGTTTGATAATACTGTGTTTAATGTGCAAAGTCTTGAAGTTAATTTGTTGATTTAAATTTGTTTAATTGAATCTATACAGCTGATAGCGAAAGGAGTAAAGAATACTAATGTGCCTTTTCATGTGGGAGCTACAGAACAGAGCCCTGTGCATGGACTACAAGAGCTTGGAGCAGCTCCTCCTAAGCCACAAACTCCAGTGAAGCCTGGTACACCAGTCATCTCCATGACTTCTGCTTTGAAGGAAGTGGGTGTGGTAGGTACTTTTGCTAAGAGGGTAAAATAAATGGGGGGGGGGAACTGATTTGGAAAAGAATTTTTAGAAGAATGTGTAGATTAGATAGAAAAAAAAAATCATTAAGGATACTTGTTGCTTCTAATTAGGGAAAAAAAAGTAAAAAGAAACCAAAACTTGGAAGCTGTTGAAATACATCTGTGCACTGAAACTCAATTAGTTTTGAACAAAGTGGCTTCTTTATTATGAACCCTAGGCTGCAATTTCAGTTTTGATCAAGGCAGTCATGATTAGTGGAAGAGTACATCAACTAACCAGCATTTCTGTCAGCCTCTTGAAGAGGGGAGTTAATGAGTTTTTAACCTGGTGGAAGTGAGAAAATAAATTTAGAATGATAGTACTGTTTTATATTAATTCTTGTTTTCAGTGAGTTTGAAAGTATGTGCTGATTATAACAGGGACTATGAAGTTTTAAGAGACTTGAACCTGATAGTGGTATCTCTTCTTGCTGTCTAAAACAGCAGACAGTTCACAATTTCTGTTTTCTGTGATCCTGGGTCCTGATATTGTAAATTCTTACACTTTTACCTCGACTACCACCATTTGATTTAAGTAACAATTGTGAAGCTGAGCATACAAGTGAACGTTTGTACAATTTGAATTTTTAACACAATCTGTGTTAATTTGAATGCTAACTTAAGGGTTCTTACATAAGCTATTTGTAGATTTCAGTGGCTATTTGTAGATTTCAGTGTAGTGTGGGATTATATACTGTATACATCTCTGAAGGCTATGACTATGGGAATATAGTGAAACTTAGTGCTAAATAGTGAATATAAAATGTAAGATGTCACTGACAGCTGGAAAAATGAACAAATCCTGTTTTGACAAATACTAAAATCATTGCACATTTTTCCCATGTGGATAGTTTGTCCTACAGCAATGCAAGATGGTGACTATATTGACTAAAAATTAGCACACAGTCCAATTGGAGAAGACAAGCCTGTACACAAAGATTATAAATTCTACATTTTTGTCTTTGAATTTTAGCTGGTTTATTTTACATATTTACTGTTTTACAATTTTGAAGTGTAAATATGCTTTCTAAATGAAGCTCATATTGATTGCTTCTGGAAGCCTGGTAGGTCTTATGCGGTAGTTGAAATCTCATTGCTCCCGTAATTGAGGCAGATGAAGAACAATGCAGAACGTCTCCCTGAAAAATGCACCACATAATGGAATATTTGCCTTAGTTTGGTATAATTGTGCATCTGCGTAGTCTCAATTGAATTAATCTGAGCAGGCTTTCTGATATGTGTTCAGATATCAAGGAACTATTGTTTTCATATTCTTTACTGACTTGGCATTATATATGCTGTAATGACTAAAGTTGTCTCTTCTCCCTTTAGCTTTTCATTACAGGTGCTCCTTGACTCTGCCCTTGCCACTTTTTTGTTCTCGTACAGAATTACTCATTTGTAGCATTGGAATTTGGTGGCATTTTGCTTTAGAGGTCATATTTAGCTTTATCTCTTGTGGTAGTTTGACCCTGGCTGGACGCCAGGGGCCCACCAAAGCCGCTCTATCTCTCCCCTCTAACCGGACAGAGGAGAGAAAAGTAAATCAAAAGGCTCATGGGTTGAGATAAGGACAGGGAGAGATCATTTTATCAGTTACCATCATGGGCAAAACAGACTCAGCTTGAAAATAATTTATTATCAATCAAAATCAGAGAAGGAGAGGAGAAAAACTGCTAGATCTTAAAAACCTTCCCCCCACCCCTCCCTTCTTTTTTGGGCTCAACTTCATTCCCAGCTTCTCTACCTACTCCCCCCAGCGGCACAGGGGGACGGGAATGGGGGTTGAGGTCAGTTCATCACACGTTGTCTCTGCCACCGCTTCTTCCTAGGGAGAGGACTTTTCCCCTGCTCCAACGTGGGGTCCCTCTCACGGGAGACAGTCCTCCACGAACTTCTCTAACATGAGTCCTTCCCACGGGCTACAGTTCTTCACGAACTGCTCCAGCATGGGTCCATAACTTCCATGGGGTGCAGTCCCTCAGGAGCAGACTGCTCCAGCGTTGGGTCCCCTGCGGGGTCACAAGTTCTGCTGGCAAACCTGCTTCGGCATGGGCTCCTCCTCCCACGGGTCTGCAAAGTATTGCCAGGAACCTGATCTGGCGCAGGCTTCCCATGGGGTCACAGCCTCCTTTGGGCATCCACCCGCTCCGGCGTGGGGTCCTCCACAGGCTACTGATGGATATCTGCTCCACCGTGGACCTCCACGGGCTGCAGGGGGACAGCCTGTCCCCACCAGGTCTTTCCTCCGG